ACGTTCTAATTTCAATTTTTCAACTTAGAACGCGCATTACCGCAATATGGATAAGAACTCAGGAATGTCTATACTTGCTGAATTCCCCAAACATACAGCTTTCATGTGCATATATTGGATTCATTCTATCCATTATAGTTTTCGAGTAAAGCAATGAAATGTAAAAACACTGCTTTTTCGAACGTTCTAATTTCAGTTTTTCAACTTAGAATTTTTTCTTGCTCAAATTAGAATTATTATAATGTTTCAGAAACCTACACCTACGCAGTTGATTCATCGTGATCATCGTGATTCATCGGGCGTTTTCGGCTAATTTTTATTGCTTTCTTATCTATCAATTATGCAAGTGTGCAAAACTCACATGTTTGAGATCCGCAGGTGCAGATGACGCACTCATTCCGTTGTTTGGAAACTACTGCTCTACAGTATTCACATTGAATGCGGTTTTTCAATTCGACTCGTTTAATTGGCTACAAAATGTTCATCTCTCGACAATTTTGTTTACTTTTTCTTATTTGCATGCATCCCTTGTGCAAATCGGGAGAATGTAAAAAAAATGTATAAAAATTTAAAACAAATATTAATAATAGAAGCATTTTATTCTGCTCAATGCTATTCGGAATTTCACTAAAACCAATATTGATTGTGCGGTTATTGGCTGATCGGTTTAATTAAAAATGGATTATCCAGTCGGAAGAGTCGAACTGTGCGAATCGGGTTAATTAAAGTATAAACCGAACTTAAGCTTTTCTTTATTTGCAACGGAAACAATTGATTTAAATTATACGACCCAATTAATTCAGGTTTTTGTTTGTTCGTAAAATTATAAAAAATACATTTTTATTATATAAACAAGATGCAAAAATATATTTCTACAATTATTGATTTCTTTCTCATTATTATATAAATAAACCTATCCTCCAATTTATACGGTAGATAAGTTCCTGAGAAAAACATGTAAATAAATTTGTGTCTTTTTGAATTTAAAACTGTGCAAAAAAAAGCATAATTTCATAATTTATAAATTATAACTTTTTATAATCATAAAGTTTATTTTCTATATTTATTTATTTTGTTAACCGTGTAAAACCTAAATCGTGTAACAAAAGTACCGTGTAAAAGGAGTGATAGATGTACAATAAAAATGCACATTTTATTGAATAATTATATAAATATTTAAACAAACTTTGATTGAACTGGTGTGAAAGCATCAATTAGGGGACGGCACACCGCGTACGTAACCAAAATTTTTGATTAATTGAGGTTAAATTTGGTGGCTGTAAAGTGTGAATTTCATATTCGCGTATTTTCATATATGCACACCGCGAAAATTCGGCGCCTCCATTAATCACAATTAAATTCGGCCCGAAAATTCGTTTCATAAATTATCGGACATCGGTTTAATTTACTCCCTAATTACTCCATTACTTTCAATTAATACGATTTTTCTCTCTCTTTTCCTTCTGTTTTCACGCGAATTCAGATTCATAAATTCACATTACCCAGCGCATCCACTTTCTATATAATGCAATATTATCATTTGAGATGTTCATTTTGAAATGCAGGTATTTCGTACAGGTGTTCAATAAAAATGCAGGTTTTCAATAAAAACGCAGGTGTATCTTATTGCACAAGTGTTCAATATAAACGCAGGTGTTCAATATAAACGCAGGTGTTCAATTAAACGCAGGTGTATCTTATTGCATATGATGATGCAGGTGTTCAATATAAACGCAGGTGTTCTTAATAAAATGCAGGTGTTCAATATAAAACGCAGGTGTTCTTATTGCATATTATGCAGGTGTTCAATATAAACGCAGGTGTTCAATTAAACGCAGGTGTTCTTATTGCATATGATGATGCAGGTGTTCAATATAAACGCAGGTGTTCAAATAAACGCAGGTGTTTCTTATTGCAGGTGTTTAATAAAAAATCAAGTATATTTTCGACAATTAATTAATACGCAGGTGTATCTTATTGCATATGATGATGCAGGTGTTCAATATAAACGCAGGTGTTTATTATTAAAGCAGGTGTTCAATAAGCAGTGATCTTTATATGATGATGCAGGTGTTCAATATAAACGCAGGTGTTCAATTAAACGCAGGTGTATCTTATTGCATATGATGATGCAGGTGTTTCTTATTGCAGGTGTTCAATATAAACGCAGGTGTTCAATTAAACGCAGGTGTATCTTATTGCATATGATGATGCAGGTGTTTCTTATTGCAGGTGTTCAATATAAACGCAGGTGTTCAAATAAACGCAGGTGTTTCTTATTGCAGGTGTTTAATAAAAAATCAAGTATATTTTCGACAATTAATTAATATTTTGAATCTTTGAAACAATTTCACATTCAACTGAAAATTTTCATAATCCATGTTTATTTCAATATTTTAATAATTACAAAAACTACTCACAAATAAATTAAATTATAAGAAAACTATTTTTCTACAAAAAAGGACAGTATTAAAACTAATAAAGAAGAAATATGAATGAAGAAATTAAAGTGTCAATAAATATTTACTTTCAATTTTAGTACTTGTTAAAGTTGTTAAAGATATATTTTTGAATTCAGAAACCTTTTGTGCATAAGTAATTATTTATTTGTTATTCATAGAGAGAAAAAGGGTATTTGAAGCTGAATAAACACGTATAAAAGCTGGAAATTGCGTGGGCGGGTTTTGCGAGATTCGGCTCCTAAGTCTTTGATCTTTTGATTTCTACCACTTCCAGCACTTTTGTTCGGAGCCATTCAGTATAAAAAATATTTAATATTGTAGCAGCAGCCATTTCGGAGAAGCGAAAATGAATGAAAGTTGGGAGGGAAAGGAAGAAAAAAATAATATATATATTGACCGTCTGCTCCTTTCTTCTCAGTTTTAATTAGGACTCGCGCTTATTAAAAACTCCCAATCCTTAATAATTATTACGAAACTCAGTATATATTATTATGTATTTCTCTTTATGTGTTCTCTCCGTTATTATTTACTCAGCAAATACAAGCATCATCATTTTTTTTTATATATATGTCAAGTCAAGGTGATTGGGTCGGAGTTAAAGCCAGTTTTTCGTGTCATCAAAAAAAAGCTACAATCCCCTTTCATAGTTACATTTTATATATAAGTTTGCTTATTTTTCTCTCTGTTGCAGGACTATTCTGTCCAGGACTTTTCGACGGATGGGTCTGCTGGCCGGATACAGCTGCTGGTGAAGCTGCGAGTGCACCGTGTCCAGAATTCATAATCGGCTTCGATCCTAGCAGTGAGTATTTTTTTACTTATCCAGTTATAACACGTTGCCAAAGATGTTGCAATAATTATTGTCAGTTGACACGGATGAAGTTAATTGGAGGGTGCTAATTGGAGCTTAATTAGGAAAAAGCAGAGCGTGCAAGCAGCAGTCACATTCGCACCAGGATTCGGATACTTGAGGTGTTCGCACCTGTACTATTCTTCACGTTAAATTGCTCTAATTACTATGGATCCTTTGACAAGATGAAGGCGGTGGGATAGCAGCAGCAACGACACTTTACGATCCATTTGCTCCTATCAATTTTGCATTAAGCTTTTACTGCCTCCGCGTATTTTACAACCTAACACGCTAATGCTCCCAATAATTGTTCTCTACTTAATGAAAACACTTTGCAAGATTGACTTCTACATATTTTGCAACTTTACATTATCATATTTTTTTTTTAAATCAATACAAAATTATTATTTTTATAGTTTAAAAAAAGTTTAATATTTGAAAATCACATTTTTATATTCACGTTTAATGTAATTAATTGATACACTAATTAGATTAGCAAATTTGCATTTTATAGAAAAAATTATGACCTTTCTAATGAACTTATTACTAGATTTATAGTATTTCCCATTTTCTTGTAATAAGCTTCCAATATTGAACATTAATTGTTTATAATTATTTTTAGAAAATTATTGTAGAAGATACAATTTTATTTGTATAAGATCAGTTTGGTAAACTTATTATTTACTATAAAATATGCAATAAAGGAAACGATTTTTACATAAAAGCTCGTTTCCACGGAATGTTACGGTGAGTTCGGTGAAAGCAAGCAAATATAAACAATAAAAGCGGTGGAAATGCGGCAACAACCGTCGCACTTAGATTTGCATTTCAGAAGGAGTTTACATAATACTATTCCATTTCCCGTTTCATAAAAATATGATTTCTGGCGTAAACAGAAAATATCGGCACTTCAGTTCGTTCAGTCGCCATGGAAATAGCGAAACAATTTTGAAAGGACAATAAAATAGTTGAGGAATTGGGGTTTTGACCTGAACGACCCTGAATTTAATCCGAGTCAATTTATTTTCGACGTATGTGTACGAATATAACGAAAGACATTTGGGTTTGGGATCGATGAGGTTTGGGATTGGGTTTTCTTTCATATCCTATTACTGCACGAAGGCAATAAGAGAAGGAAAACTGGAGGTAATGGTGTACTAATATATTCATGACGGAATGAAGGAAAGATGAGGAAATTCAATTTCGTTTCTTGCGATTCCCATGCATCCTTCCAGTGCGGTGCAATATTAATATGTAATCATCTCGAGTGGATTTTTCCACCTTGGTTTCAAAGAATTTATTAAGGACACGTTGAAAATATAGTCCATGATAATTCGCACCTGCACACCGCAACACTACATCATCCCCCGTCAATCCATTACATAATAATAACGTTAGTCCAAGAAGACGAAAGGAAACTTTCAGTGTTAGTTAAAAGTTAAAAATTAGCGAACTTTAAAAGCGAAGAATCCTTAATTCCAAAGCTAATGCACAATCCATTAGAGAAGAAGTTTTTATTAATAATTAAATTACAATCAATATTTTGTAATATTGATCCAAAAAAAAAAAATTGAAGCAATTTATTTATATAATTTTATTATGATTCATTTATGGGCATAAAAAATCTCTTCATTAACTTTGTTGCGTTTGTTTATATATATACTTTTTTGTGTAGTTTCGAAATCAGGCCTGGCCGTTTTCAATGGAAATTAAATTACGCTTCTGTGGGCGTACGCGATTCCATGGAAAACATAATACAGTTTCCAATCTGTATTGAGAGGGGGGAATTTCGTTCGAACGAAACAACAAACAAACAAAAAAAATACTCTGTCCATTGAACGACGATGATAAATTGTATACCAATATCAAAATAACGGAAAAAATATGTGAGAGAAAGAAAGAGGGAAAGACCGGAAAAACGTAAGCGTGGTGGGAAGATGATAAAGAAGGGAGAGGGATGAAATTTCCGGTCTTCGGAAAAGCTTTTGTTCATTATATCAGGGCAGTACACAAATCACGTCATCGAGAATCAAATTTAAAGGAAAATGAGGGAGAAAGAAAAGAAAATTTGTGTATAACGATGCAAATTTCCTATTAGTAATAGGAGAAGAAAAAACAATTGGATATTGGAGATGAGGTTTGCATTTGAGAGGAAGAGGATGTAAAGGTCATTGAAATCTATGATACTTTTCCTATAGTTAATTATTATCTTATTCCAAACTTAATTTGTTATAAAGAAATGGATATCATTATTATATTTTTTTTGTTTTTGACGTAAATTTGATTAAGGTTGAAGGTGAAATTGTCAATAACTGTTATAATCTTCTCTATTACTACATTAAACTTATAAAAGAGGTACATTTGGGGTAGTAGAATTCATTGGGCCATTTGCGGTTCCCATTGGTACTAAACCTGACCATGATGAAAGGTCTTTGGGGACCCACGAGAACATTACTCATTTTATGTGAGAGAGATATAAATTCAATATTACTCCCTATGGGTCTACCAAAATCGTGCTTTCGATTTATCAGAACAGCGATTCGTGGTCTATAGAATTGATCATTCGTTTATTTACAAAACAATTAACTTCACGATTTTCAGAAATTATTTCAAATAATATTATTGATTTTCTTTGTTATTGAAATTTGAGTATTAAATATAAAACGTGTTTCTTAATACTGATTACTTTTTTTTACTGTAATTACTACTGCAGTTGGTTAAGTTTAAAAGATGTTTCTTAGTATAATTATACAAGTTTAATGGGAGATGTGCAGATATAAAGAATTCATTAAAACAGGGGTTGAGTGAGCAGTAAAGTAATTTTCATATGACAGGAAATGTAGGAGTTGTCTGATGCTCGCTTGTAAATTTTAAATATTGCCGCTTTAGACCCTACTCAAAGTTTTGAAGCCTAGGCCATGACGTATACATTCCCTTTAACCTTGCATACTCTCACAAAGTGATAGCTTTACACTCCTAAAACTGCAATTTTCAATTTTAATTTTAACTTTTACTTTTGAAAATGAGAATTTCTTAGAGATATTTATATAAATGTCAATAATCTCCATAGTTACCTATGATTATATAACGCTGAATATATCAAAACTTGTATATTAAGTTAACTTAATTACAAAAAAAGCAAAAATTGCAAAAAAATTCTAATTTAATGAAAAAAAAATTAATATGTTTACAATTATTTAACAAATTCTTAAATCTATTGACAATAATGGTATTTTTCGCAGATTTTCTTTGTTCTATAGCCAATTTTTATTTATTTTTGTAGTTTAACCCTTCTTTCCTCAAGGGTAATATCATTAACTTAATAATGCTGGGTTTAATTCTACTTACTATGAAGCAGAACCGCACAGCTGTAAATTAACTTTAATTACGGGATATAGTGTTTCGACACTCCAATTTATCTGGCACAAACTTTTCAATTATAATACTACCACAAACATGATCATGAAATATTACTTTCCAAACCTTATTATTAACTGTCGAAAATAACAATATGGATTTGATTATTATTACTATTATATTTTAATTAATTAATAGAAAAAAAAATAGAATTATAACAATTTTGTAAAATGTATTTTTTTTAACTTTTTTACTAAAGTATAGATGAAGTATAACTAATTAAGCGTTGTGTATCCTCTAAGGATGTATCCATTGTGCTTGTGAGTTTTTGTCTGAAATAGTTTTATTTTCCTTTTTACAGGAAAAGCATACAAGATATGTGAAGAGACAGGAGAGTGGTTTTTCCACGAGGAGTATAACAAGACATGGTCGAATTACACCACTTGTATCAACAAGGAGGATTTATGGGTAAGCAACGAATTCTCTTCCTATCTCTCTTCTCCTCTCCATCTATCCGAAAACGAGATCTTTGTCTTACCACGACACCTCCACTCCTCCTTTCATCCACCTTTTTCCAATATGGGGGCGGCTTTTAGTTGTGCAAACAGCACCCGAGATGCGAGAGGTTTTCTTAGAATACCAGAAAACTAGTAAAACTTCTGTAATCCGAACCGAGCTAAAAAAATAATAATAAATAAAATAAGACAAACAGTTGTAATTAAATCGGTGGTAATTAATTGGAGCGCTTCTGTTATGTTTAGCTATTAATCTGTGCATTGAGAGAGCGGTCGGAATACAGGAGGATCTCGCTGCAGACGGCGATTGTTAATTGTTTTAATTAGAGTTCATTTGTTTCAGTTCCGTCAGATGATAGTCACCCTCTACATAGTTGGATACAGCATCTCCCTCGTCGCCCTGCTCAGCTCCCTCGGCATACTCACATACTTCAAGTAAGCAGTCTTCATCCCATTTACCACCCCCTTCGCTCTTACTAATAAATAATAATGCCACGAGAAGCCTTGAACATTCCTAGCCACGTGTCCATTAAAAAGCTATTAGCCTGTCGCTACCTCTCTCTCTCACTCTTCTTGTATCACCTTTCCGCTTTTGGTGCCTTTGATCTCTTCACTATTTTCTCCGGAACACTGACGAAGAAAGAAATTACTTTGAATTAAGCTCGAGCAGCTTTTAACGTAAATTCACTAGCGAAACTCGCACGTGGAACAAACTCAATCTTGAAAAAAAAAACACATCATTTTTAATTGATTTTCATAATCAATTTCATAGTATTAAATTGAATAAAGACAATTTTTATTGCATTTTAGATTTTGTTAAAATTTGTATCACTAATTATTTATAATATTTAAATAATCTAAAGATCTACATTAATATAAAGTAATAAAAATTTTAGTTACAGCTGTTTTCTTAATAAAATTAGAAAACCCGGCGCATCCATAATATTAATTAATAATTTTAAAATATTTTTATGTGCACTATTATTTCATTTAAAATGTATTTATTTCAAAACATTAATTTATATGTAAACTTAATATGAGGTTTCAGTGCATTTCTATAGATTTTACATAGCTTTGTGAAACTGTTTTCAACTGTGTCAAAGCATTCATAAATGTTAAATCTAGAATTAAATAATCCATATTGTACAAAAAGTAACATAAAATTAGCTAAATTAATTTACAAAAGAATAGTTTACACATTAAAATCCATTTTCAACATATTTCTATACTTGTTACTTAGTTTTGTGTTTTCTTTTTATGCGGTAGATACGTTCCACAGGAAAACGCATAAAAATAAATCGCACATAAAAGGACTAGACACACGTATAAAAATAAAGGATATGTTCCATAATTTTTTAAAACCGCATGAAACTAAATCAATGAGTTACAATATACCGAAAATCGCATAAAAAAGGGTTTATTAAATTTCAGAAAAATAATTAGTCTTACTATATAATCTTAACGTATTCCTTCCAAATTTATACGGAAAAATTTTACAAAAAAAAATGTAGAAAATTTTTATGAAAGTTAATCTTTCTTCACATTTTTTCTTTAGAATTATCGTCGCTATATGAGAGTGTCAAAACGTGTGAAAATTTCATAAAATAGTTATTTAAAAAAAAAATGCTTCTTGAAATAAAAACCGCATAAAAAGAGGACCGAGTGTATATTAAACCATTCATAAATCATCTTTAGCTCTAGCTTTAATTTAGTTCTAAAGAAAACACATCATAATTATATAATTCATTATATTTGTACTATTTTTTCCACAATTAACATATGAACTTATTACATAAAACAATACTCATGCTTGGTCCAATTCGCATGATTACAAACATTGCTTCTAGTCATGTTTTAATCAAGCAACAATAAATACAAGCAAACTGTTATAATATGAAATATTCCGTACCTAGAGGTAAGCTACATGAAAGGATGGAACCGTTTATACCGGAACGAAAACCCATAAATTTGCATACTAAATGCAATGAACATGTTTTACGATGCATCTCTCAAATCGGGTCATCCGAAATAGAATGAAGACAACCACTATATATATTTAAAAAAAAATATGTTGTACATCATGTAATGAAAATATATGTATGCTTCTATTGATTGCAATAATTCTATTAGCGAAATTAAATTTTGGTGAACGAACTTCATATCTGAATGCACGGAGTAATAAAAAGCGGTCATAAACGTAAATATGGCTAGTCTAGACTTTTTTATACCCGCACAGTGGGAATTCAAAGTTTTATGCACGTACGGCAACAGAAGAATGCAGAAAGCTTTAATAAATATAAAGTTGAACAAATACAGTTTTGTAAACTTTAAATGTTCGATTTTGGTTATGAAACGCATTGATGCAATGAAAACTAGATGATTTATTGAAGCAAAATCTATTTTTTTTTGTCTTTTAATATATATTTATATGGAGTAAAGAAAAGAGGTAAATTTACTTTTCTGCTGCTGCTGCAATAATAAATACAATACATTTCCTTTTTCCGTCGAGCTCCTCCGGCTTTGTAACGCATTTAAACTCGCTTTGAAACTTTTTCAACCCCTAGAATATTCCTTTCGAGAATGTATTTTCCATTTCTGCATAATATATTTCGCGCAAAACGTTTTATTAAATGTCACAAGGGAAAAGGACGCAATCATCTTGCAGAACTTCTACACTGTGTTTATTCTGGTTTCATCAAAACTGATGTAAACAAATTGAATCAATTAGTATAAATGTTTAGTTTTTTTCATATGAAATACACAAAAATATATTGAATAATACAAAAATTGATTGATTAAATTTTAAAAAAATATTAAATTGATTAATTTATTATAATTTTACTTAATTTCTTGAAGAAAATAAAAAAAATTTCATTAAAAAATCTTTACAATTTTTATTTTTAGTAATTAGTTAGACTAAGTTTGGAGCGAAAAAATAATATTATCTTATTTCCAATTATGTTACGAACAAAGGGATGAAATTACGTTTATAGAAAAACTTACGTAATGAAACAACATGCAGTTATACCATATTTTTTTCCTTCGTCTGGAAATGTTCTATAATTATAATCTCTCGGATGAAACGCGTAAATGGTTTTATTAAAACGTATAGACTATGTAAAAAAAGAGAAAATCGCTGTCATTTTCCACGTTTGTTTGATGTTCTCGTAACCCTTTTAATATTTAATTACATTCCTCTGAAGCTTTCTGTCTGCACGAGATAATAGACAATTTGTCCCTTCTTTTTATTTTGCACAATAAAATTGTAATTTTCTTAATTCCATCTTATCCCAAGTTACGATCAAAATATTATGTTTAATTATGGTTGAGGGTGTTTGATTCAATCCACGTTCCATCTGGCGAAGCACCTGTGCACAAAGTTATTCAGGGTGGCTTCGAGGGCAATTATCCCCTTGTCTCTCGTACAAATCGACTGCGACTAACCTTTCCTCCGTCACCGCTTTCAACCTTCCTTCTCGTTCCAACACAATGAACAGCCGTGACTTCTTTTTTTTTCATCTTTCACTCCATTTATATCTGCTTTCAAACTTTCTCTACTTCGCCATCTTTCCAACGATGTTTACACCTTCTTTCAGGAACATAATGTACCTTTGTGTTATGTGCATTGTAATGCTCACAAACTTCGTACACTCATAACTTTTTTTTTCGCATAATCTAAATAACACTTATTGAAAATAAACATACTTTTTTAAATTATGTAATATTTTAAGTACATTTATCATAGCTTTTACAAAAAGTATATACATTAACTTTAATCAACATTCTGAATAAATTAATTAGTATTGAATTATGTAATTTGTTTACAAGTTAGTTTTGAGTTGAAAAACACATTTCGTTTCATTTGCAAATGGGAATAAAGTCATCAAGTAAGTAACAAATTACTTGTGTATTTTATTATTGCAGTATTAAAGGTCGCGTGCAATAATGAAAAGCTAATTTCCATTTACATTTCCATATTGTAGCCTCCATTAATTTGTAAATAAATAAACTACATAGAAAAGTATATGGAAATTTCTATTATGATTTAAAAATAAATTATAATAAAAATTTATTATATTTATAATATGAATTTGTTTTCATTTATATTTATGTAAGCGTTTAATCACAAAAGAAAGCAATAATAATGCATAGGAAATGAACGTGAAGTCGACTTATTGAGATTCATGCACGTCGTAAATCGATAGACCATATAAAACGGGGATAACCAAAGGGATTTTATTGAGAGGTTGGAGGAGGAATATGAGAAAATTCGTATATGAAAAAAAAATGGATATGGTTTTTTTTGTTTTCTGTGCAGGCAGTTCGAGTAATAATCATGTTTACGATCTTCCGATATTAAATGTTCCTCATGATCTTTGTCTTCGGTTCCATAAAGGTTATTTATATCGCACATAAATGTCTCAGTGATGATTTTTTTTGGCTTTAGTGGAGGAATTGAGGGAAATGTAAAGTTTGTAGGTGATTACCAAAGTCTTGTCTCGTTTAAGAAATTAAACGCTCGTCTCGTACCTTTCTGAAGGAGAAAGATAAAGAGAAAAAGGGACTGAAGCTAATGTTGTTTGAGAAGTTGTCGGGAGTATGGAAATGATGCTCTAAACACCTTTCAAATTAGCCTTTACTTTCTTCTTCTTTTTTTTTGCAATTTAGACATTAATTGCAGTTCATCTACTTTAAACAAGTTTCGTAATATAATAATTTATTTCATAACAGAAAAGTCTAATGGTTGCAGTCTTTCCAAATATTTAAAGAAAACAAGATTTTTTAGAATATTTTTAATGTTTTAAATCTTTACATTTTTTTTATAATTAAAACATCTCAGTTTTAATTGAACACATCAGCGATTAGAAACACGTGCGATACATATGCAAGAAAACAGCACTAATCAATTTAAAATTGAAAATTGCGTTAATTTTTAATATTTAATTGTTTTATTTCATGAAATTATGTAATAAAATTGATTCATTTTACAACAAAATCATCTAATTATTAATATCTATAATATAAAATAATTCACAACTAGTGTACATTATATAATTAGTCTTTATTTATCAGAAAAATGATGAATGAAATTAAGGAAATAATTAATAAAACGTAGTAATAAAAAACTTAAAAAAAACAGACTTTTATTCATTAAATTATATTAAATATTTGAAAATTTTTAAAATTATTTGTATTGAAAAATACAGACAAAATTATGGCCTTATCAATAAGGCCATAAATTACCAAATTTCAACACTTTATTATAAAACCTTTTAAATTTTAGTTTTTTTTTCTAATATATTATTTTTTACCTATTTCATAATAACATCAATATTAATTAATGGGCAGAAAGACCTACAGTCAATTAATGTGCAAAATATTATAATTTTATTTATTTAATTTTAATTTTATTATATTTTATTTAGACTAACAAAAAAGTTTATTCTTATATAACTGGGATAAAATGTATATATACTTGTTTTATGTAGCTATTATAAAGCCATGTCTCTAAGGAAACGTATTTCCGTTTCCTTTCTTTCTTTTTTTTGCTACAATGCGAGAGGAAATAAATTTAGAAGGCTGTCAAATTGCATTACGAAATGCTACGAGCGAGCTGGAGTTCCTTGGATACCAATTTGCAACTGTCAATTAGCTGTAAATATTCCAGTCAATAAAAATTCAGAATTGCGTAATGTCGTAAATGTCTTTTGTATTTCTATGTTATTTTGTAATTTTAGATAATTGAAAATTTACATGGAAATAATCAATTGATAAACTTAATACAAAAAGGTTTTTCTTGCAAATTATTGTTAGTATAAGAGTAAAAGATAATAATACATAACCTTTAGAATCCCCCAAAGAGGACTATTCATAAATTACGCTTTTATATGAGTTATTTGAAAGTAGCATTAGAATACTCAAACATATTATTTCTTCAGTTATGGTAAGAAGTCCATATATTACTGTAATAGATGTTAGATGTTCATCTTTGATGCTGTGGCTGTAGAATTATAAGCGTTTCTTGAGCTATGATACCAATGTTTTAATAATGTATGATCCATACGTGACCTCGAGAAGTACCGGATAAATCGCTTGGACAACGTTATCCGTAATGCATATATTAATCAAATATGTATGATATCTGCAGCGCACATCCGTCATCTGATTTATTTAAGCGAAGCATCGGACATCAAACGTTGTTTTCGCCGATGCCATTTCGGTGGCCGCTAATTTGCGGCGCTAACATCAAAGTGACCCCCTCGAGGAATCCGAGAAGATGAGAAATTGAAATGTACGTAGATGAGGAGTGGATGGATGAATAGATGGATGGAAGGAGTTGGAGGTGGCGGAGAGATGCTCCGCTCTTAAAAGCATCCTCTCTCACCTTCAACCCTACGAGAATGTACGCTTTCTCCAAGTGGGCGAAACAAAGCCGCCCTCCACTAATTAAACCCCAACAACGATAAACTAATTGAACTTAATGCAGTTGGTTGAGAATTTCAAGCAATCTCTCATATACATTTTTTTTTCCCTCTCTTTTTACTTTTTAGCTGTTAAGAGCTTATCCACAATATTATTTCTTCGCATCTTGTCTTTTGTTATTTATTTTTCGGATGTATAAAGTTGAACGCTCTTTGTTGTGGAAAATGGAAGGCTCACGGTTTTACGATCGATTCTGTGCACATGCACACGTTTCAAGTCAATTTTCGGTGACTTTACGAGATCAAACTGTAGGTTCAAAAGGAACAATTCATTCTGTATGGACGAAGCAATTCATCTTTTTGAAGAAAATCGGATTTACTTATTTATTCAATGAATGGAGGAAGTGGTTTTTTTTTTATAAACGTGCGGTTTCTGTTCAGCAAAAGAAAATCGGAAAAGTGTGTTTGGCTTTTGCCCTGAGAGTTTGAAAAACTTTCTTAATTTTATTAAATATGTAAAGAAACTATAAGTTTGAGTACACTTGAGAGTAGATTTCATAAAAAATGTTGATGAAAATTAATAAAAATTATAAAGTTTCTTAATTCCAATATTTTATTCAACATTTTTTCATTTCAAATATTGTTAAATATACAAATATAATTTTCGTTGACTTTAAGAGATCAAGCTATACGTTCAAAAGGAACAATTCATTCGGGATGGACGAAGCAATTCATCTTCTTGAAGAAAATCGGATTTACTTATTTATTCAATGAATGAAGGAAGTGGTTTTTTTTTTTATAAACGTGCGGTTTCTGTTCAGCAAAAGAAGAAAGTTTTTCAAACTCTCAGGGCCAAAGCCAAACACACTTTTCCGATTTTCTTTTGCTGAACAGAAACCGAACGTTTATAAAAAAAAACCACTTCCTCCATTCATTGAATAAATAAGTAAATCCGATTTTCTTCAAAAAGATGAATTGCTTCGTCCATACAGAATGAATTGTTCCTTTTGAAGCTACAGCTTGATCTCTTAAAGTCACCGAAAATTGACTTGAAACGTGTGTCTAAATTGCAAACAAGTTATATTTGTATATTTAACAATATTTGAAATGAAAAAATGTTGAATAAAATAT